TAACCATACATGGTCTCAGGGAGCCGTCTTTCTTTCCAACGAAGAAGAACCCGGCGCCCAAAGGAGAGGAAGATGGGCGGATTATTCCTGCAGCTAATGATTCATTAATGTATTTTTCCATGGTCTCTCTTTCAGGCTTAGAAATGTTATACAACCTGCTGCTAGGTAGTGGTGCTCCAGGTAAAAGTTCAATGGCGCAGTCATATGGTCTGTGTGGAGGTAGGGACATCGCACTGACCTTACTGAAGACAGGAGCTAGGTCATGGTACTCGGAAGGAACGGAAGAAAGGTCAGGAGAGTCCATCTCCCCCCCACCTCTAGGAGACCCCACCAAGGGAGCAGCCAAATGGAGGCATGTTTCATGGCATGAAGTGGACCACGATTCCAGGTGACGTTCGGTCCAATTTATGTGAGGATTATGCTTCTCCAACCATTCAAAACCAAGCACCAGGGGGGAACATGCAGAAGGAAAAACAAAAAACGTTATTGTCTCTCGGTGGTAACCTGACAGAAGTAGCTCGAGGGGTTGAGTTTGATGGGTAACTTGGTGAAGTCTTTTTCCGTCAATAGCAGAGACACTAAGAGGTTGAGTCAGAGGAATGGTTTCAATTTGGAGTTGTTGGACGAGGTTCGAATCGATTAAGTTCCGTTCACAGCCTGAATCGATGAATGCAGAAAAGGAGAGGCTTTGGTTTGAACAAAACAACGTGGCAGGAAGCAACAATCGAGGAGATTTCTTAGTGTTAATTTGGCCCGCCAGACTCCTCAGATCCTCTGGCGGGCCCAGGCTTTTGATTTAGCCAGGCAGGAAGCGATGAAATGTCCACTCTCACCACAGTAAATGCATAATTTGCTTAGAAAACGTCTTTGTCTCTCCTCAGGGGTGAGCCTGGAATGTCCCACCTGCATGGGTTCGACATCTCTTTCACCCGAATGAGAGGCCTGAATAGGCAGAGGGAGAGGCTGAGCCTTAGGTCTCTGTATGAGCAGCTGCTCTGTGGGGGAAGAACAAACAGTCACGTTATGTGAGGCAGAAGAAAGTGTCCCCTGCTTTTTAGAACTGTTTCTGGCACGGATTCTATTATCCAATCTGATCGTAAGACGAATTAAGTCTTCGAGGGTAGCTGGTTCGTCAAGAGTTGCGAGCTCATCCTTAATATGCTCATTTAAAGCCATGAAATAGGCTCCCTTCAGAGCGCTTTGGTTCCATCCGGAAGCTGCCGCTTTAACCCGGAAGTTGATGGAAAATTCTGCCACAGAAGAATTTCCCTGCTTTAAATTGAAAAGAGCTCGAGAGTCAATTGTTTGATCAGTTTCTTGGTTGAAAACTTGAGTAAATTCGGAGATGAAATCAGAGTAATAGCAATTAAGGCTATCGTCGGTGGCAAATCTTGCCTGAGCCCACTCCAAGGCTCTTCCTGTTAGCTGAGAAAGGATGAAGGTTATCTTTTTGTAATCCGTGGAAAAGCTGCCTGGAGAGTTCTGGAAAATCAAACGGCACTGAAATAAAAATCCTTTGCAATCTTTCATGTTACCAGAAAATCTCTCTGGGAGACTTGGGCGGAACTCGGATGACGTCACTGCTGGTGACCTCGGAGGAGGAACTGGACCCGGAAATGGTTGAGGTACCGGTGCAGCATTAGCGCTATTCATGTAGTTAGCATAGCTCTGGATAGCTTGATTTTGCCTTTCAATGTGGGTGTTTAACTCACGTAGCGCCAGGCCGTGTCCATGGATCTGGGCCGCTTGTTCCTCCAATCGACGGATGTAGTGTTCCGCTGGGCCTTGAGTTTGGCCGCAGTGTTCTGTCATGATGGGTACTCTAAAAGTGACCCAATTATGCAGAACACCACTGACTGACACAGGAATAAAAGTTCAACAAGTTTATTTTGACACAAGCACACAGAATGTACTGGTTCTGGCTCGGGCCTGGATACTGGTTCACCGGAATCTGCGTGAGAGACAGTTCAGTTAGCGTTGCACGTTGGAGCTTGATTTCTTGATAACAACTGATTGTACCTTGAGGGTTCTTGAGGTTAGCTTTGGGAGAGTCACTGTTGGATCTGGAGAGGAGTTGATCAGCAGAGTCCGCTTGCTGCTTCAGCGTCTCACGTCTACAAATGAACAGACCTTGGCTTTGGGTTTTCCAGCTCTTAGTCCTGAGCTGCATGGAAGTTCTCTATGGTTCTTCGGGTTTGGCTCTGAGGGTCGGCTCGGCAGGTTAGCTCTTCCAGAGCTTCACAGAGGAGACACTGGTTTCCTGGAAGATAGAGACAACGGTTAGAATCCTGGCTGGATTCAAAGTCATGAAGATACACTGAGAGTCTAGGCTTAGGCGCTGACCAACTGGATCAACACTGCGGCGTTGAGGCAAGGTCTGAAGACAGCTTATATAGTGGATCCCCTGATGATCTTGATGGGCTGCAGCTGTGCAGGAGGCTCACTCAGAAGGATCCACGGTGGACTCTGCTGGAGAAAGGTGGAACTTCTCCAGCTCCCAACAATCTCACTGCCACACATGGCTTTTTTTTATATAGACAAATTTGACAGGCATTCTGGTTTACTTTGGCCACCTAGTTAAATCAAGTCTGAAGACAGACTGGTGCTTTACATACGGAAACCCAACAGACTGCATCCAGTTGTATGTTTTGCACAACCTCCTCCTGGATGAACATGTAGCGGCAGCAGACGTTTGCTTATCTCTATAGTTATGCTGCTATAGGCTTAGACTGCTGGAGGACATAGGGACCCCTGTTTATCAATATTCTTCATTCTATATTCTCCTATTCTGTAGTATTTGTTAGTTTAACCTCTAACTTTATTCCGAATCTGTAACGAGTTCCAAACCTTGGACCCAATATTGAAAAACAGACAGATGTGGATAGTTCAAAACTAGCCTTTATTGAACACTGGCTGCTCATCAGCTGGGGCGGATAAACCGGATCCTGTGTGGGAACACAGACTCAAGTCAGTGACTAATAAGGTTTATTCAGTGATGATTATAAAATTAATGTGTGCTTATAAAACATTTTTGTAAGGGGATGCTCCACTCCTGTGTCATGATTCAGTGAGGAGACCATCCTGCCTTGTCATTCTGATGGAGCATTCTGTCTTCATGAACTGATCAATTGTTCTGTCAGAACAATAGTCTGTTTGTAACCATGCGTCATGTTCTGTTAATAAACGCTCTGCGGAGGAGGTCCAGTGGGAGACAGTGCGTTTGAGTCTGGGGTTCAACTGTCTCTCCTTTCTGCGGAAATTGTATCCATAAATTGTGTATTTCAGTTCTTCCTTTTTCAAAAAGCCTAAATTTTATGAACCCGACATAAGGGCTGATAACAATTAAGAGAAAACAGTCACTGACCTGTTTCTGAGTGGAGCTGAAGCCAGCCGAGGGGCAACAGAGTCCTGAAGGGAATGTCCAAAGCCGAAGTCGTAGCAGAACCAAGTTCACAGACCAGAAGATCAGAAAGCCGACGAGGTACAGAGGGGGAATCCAAGAATAGTTGCTAACTTGCTTAGCCTATTGCTTCCTCGTTTACTCCCTGTGCACGTACATTACTGTACCTCCAGTAACTTTGTGTTGCTATTTTATGTATACATGAATGGCATTATTTACTAAAAAACTGAGAATAAGCAAAGCATTAAAAAAAAAAAAAAAAAAAAACAATATGTTGGTTTTTCAGAAAAAATTTGTATGTAACTATAGTGACCTAATAGCAAATAAGTCTATGCCCTTTTAATGCTCTCTTTTCCCAGCCTGTCAGTTTGGACGGACAGCCATACATTGGCAAGCTTGCATTAACCCTTTTACTTTCAAAAGATTGATCAAACAGTGCTTTGTTTGAAGTTAAAATATTGTGACATTATTTAATAACCTAAGCCTGCTTTAATTGATGTGCTGTCTTCATCCTGAGACGTGGGAGATGGCTCAGAGCTCGTCTGACTGGCTGCGTGTTTCCTGGACGGGGCCGCCTTTTACAGTTGCTTTTGGTATCTCTGCTTCTGTCTCCTTGAACCCCAGTCGGCCTTGGCAGATGGCCGCTCACTCTGAGCCTGTCTCTGCTGGAAATTCCTTCCCATTAAAAGGGAGTTTTTTCTCTCCACTGTCGCTACAAACATGCTTAGTGAGAGGGATTGCATTCAAGTTGATGAGTAAATGCAATCAACTGGTTTACCTTGGATAGAAAACTTTGAATCAATTTGACTTTATGATCTGGTGAACTGTAAAGTGCCTTGAGATGACGTGTCGTGAATTGGCGCTATAGAAATAAACTGGATTGAATTGAATTAATTCTGAAAATATCCATTGAAGCTTGAGGTCGCAGGTTGAGGACACTTCCACTGGTTTTTCTGAGAAATTTTGCATAGCCATGCATGCTACTCTGTACCATTCCTTTTTCATTTGGGTGTTTTTCCCATCAACAGATTTACAAGTCATGCATTTGTGTACTTTAGATGCTGCAGTGTAAACTATGTGGTTTGCATAGGACTGACAAACTGACTGTGCAAAAGTTCTCTATCACGCAAACCCTATAGTTTTCAGGTATTGTACAAGGGTTTGATAGTCAAACTATGGCAGAGGAGTTTCTGCTGAACAGAATATATTTATGCACCAACCCTGAAGCTGAGCTGAAATATGAACAGAAGGACTCCAGCTAAGCGCAGGTAAGACATTATTTCTTTGAAGCACAATTATCTGCATTACTGAGTCAGGTTAGAATAGTGCAAACATGCCAATAACTCTTATTCAAACATACTTTTTCTTGGGGGAAAAAACAAATTTATATTGTTTATTTGGTCTGTATTATTTGATTTGCCTTTGGTAATGTTTAAATAAATGTGTTCTTGGTGAAGAACGTTTCCATAAAGTCAATTATCAATGATTATTTACTTACCAATGCAGTTTACTATTAATTAACAATTTTTGGAGGGATTAAAAAAGGGTAGAAAACTATTAGTTTTGTTAATCTGGTGACCTCTCTATGTCTTTTATTTTTAGATCCTTAAGATAAACCTCTATACTCAAAATGGATGGGAAGTCTATAAAATGCATGCTCCTAATTGGTAAGTAACATTTGTAGATTTTGCATTTTATCAAACAGATGAAATCTACATTTATAGTGTCGTATTTACACTGCAAAAACGATCTCAAAATGAGTAAAAATGTCTTAAATTAAGTGTATTTACCCTTAATTTGAGCAGGTAAATAAGATGATTTGCCAATGGAATGAGTATTTTTACTCTTAAAATAAGCTATCTAGATATTATGCACTTGAAATAAGATAATACGATTGTTTTTTTTTGTTTAAAGTGTAAATTGTCTTGTTCCATTGGCAAAGTGTCTCACTTCAATCCTTAATTCAAGAAAAAATGCACTGATTTTAAGAAAAAATTACTTATTTAGATTTTATTTTTTTTGCAGTGTAGATGTGGTCAAGAATGTAAAATGTTTGGTTTGTTAAAATATTTGGTTTGTTAAAATATTTTGGTTTGTTTGTTTTCTATTATCAAAACAGATGTGGTTGGATAATGATCAGCTGAATGCTTCTAACTACACTTTATGGAATTCCTGATAATAAAGAATTACAGTAGTAATACATAATTGGGAGGTCTTATTTGATGTAAGGCTGGAAATCCTTAGATAACCATAAGGAGACATAGCAAAGGGTTGTGTACAATAAATAGGTCACTGTGAAATTATGATAGGGTGTCCAATACAATTTAACAAAACAAATAACAGTAATATTGTGAAATGCATGTTGCAAAATACTTATGGTAGATATTTGTTAGGTTTATTCAATGATGATTATAAAATTAATGTGTGTTTATGAAACATTTGTGCGAGGGGATGCTCCACTCCTGTCTCATGATTCAGTCAGGAGACCATCCTGCCTTGTCATTCTGATGGAGCATTCTGTCTTTATGAACTGATCAATTTTTCTGTCAGAACAATACTCTGTTTGTAACCATGCGTCATGTTCTGTTAATAAAACGCTCTGCGGAGGAGGTCCAGTGGGAGACAGTGTGTTTGAGTCTGCACTGCAAAAACGATATAAAAATAAGTAAAAATTTCTTAAATTAAGTGTATTCACCCTTAATTTGAGCAGGTAAATGAGATAGTTTGCATATGGAATGATTCATTTACTCTTAAAATAAGATAATTAGATAATATGCACTTGAAATAAGACAATGCAATTGTGTTTTCTTATTTTAAGTGTAAATTGTCTTGTTCCATTGGCAAAATGTCTCTTTTACCTCCTCAATTCAAGAACAAATGCACTTATTTTAAGAAAAAAATGGCTTATCTAGATTTAGATATTTTGCAGCGTGGGGTTCAACTGTCTCTCCTTCTGCAGAAATTGTATCCATTACCTTATATTTCAGTTCTTTTGCAAATCTACATTTATGAACCCGACAATATTCATCATATTATTTACATTATTTCTATTATCATTCAAATATCAAACAAGAAGTAATAAACTAAGCTGAAACAAACCAAAGAAAAAAATAATTTAGAAAGGAGAAGATAGTATGAATGAGTTAAATGCTGCCTGGATGGAGAATTCTTATGTAGTTACTCTTCAACCGCTCATTTTCCCAGGACAGGGAGGGATGATTTTGCATGAATGTTTTACCGATATCTCCAGCCTGATTTCCAAAAATTTTCCTGTGTGTACACATGCACCCGAAAGCTTTTCTCAGAGTATGGCTCCCTGGGTGCTTTGAAATGAGCCATGTCACCTGTTTTCATCTGTTTTGGTTATTAGGTTGGCTGACGGTCCTGGGCTGCCAGTCTGTCTCTGCCTCAGTGCGTAGTTCTGCCAATTCATTGGATCGTGGGCCCAAATATGTTTTTGAGTTTTCATATTCTTTTGACTCTCTGTCAGGTTATAGTGGAGGTGTTAGGTATAATAAAGTGGTTTATCTTGTTCTCATTTCCCGGTCGCTTGTAATTGTCGCTTCAAATTGGAGTAAGCTGCAGTTTTCAAGGAGAACAAACTGCACAATAAAGGAGCCACAGGTTAATGAGTTTTCTTTTTTCTACAAGAAGTGTAGTGCGGGTCCAGGGCCAGTTTGACCGGCATGGAGCCAACAAAGTTCCAGAGTATATCTGACTTTGGAAAACGTCAACTTTGGAACTGGCAAATGCTATGTTGACACTAAAAGCAACAGCAGTAGTGAAAAAAGCAGCTCTGCAGAAAGCTGAGCTGAGCTCTTTACAGAAAGATCAAATCAGTCGCCAATATGTTTTTTTTTATATATTTCTGCATGACGAAGAAAAACTTATACTCTAACACTATAATATTAATCATATTTTTGTCTCACTGTGTCCTTCATTGATTCGGTTTCATCAATACATGAAATCACTTAGACTAGCAATGTTACCGTCACCAAGAAGGTTCTTGTTTAGAATTCCATCCCTGAGTTGTTCTGCTTGATCTTCTCATGCATCATGTGGCGGTCCTCTCCCAATACTCCAGTTTGGTTGACTGGTCTCTCCAAATTGTCCTTGACTTTTAGCACTTGCGACAGGCACCAGCCTCATGACGATTTAGAGAGAAAAAATTTGTTTTGTTTATTTGTTGCAGGGCTGTGCGCTCTCTATTCATGTTCTTCACACGTTTATCACCTTGTGAATACAAACAAGACCTGGGCTGAAGCCCAGATGTACTGCAGAGAAATGTACACAGACCTGGTCACCATCAACAGCACTGAAGACATGGCCCTGGTGAATAATCTCCTCAACAACAGAGCAGAGGAGTTCTGGATAGGTTTGCACAGCAGTTCCAGTGAATGGTTATGGTCTCTGGAAAAGGAAGGATTTTATGGAGACGGACAGGCTGACTTTAGATTGTGGAATGGTGAACAAGGAAGTCCTTATGATCACTTTCACTGCGCTGAGATATATTCAACGTGGGGATGGGACATGTACGATTGCTATGTAGAGCAACCCTTTGTCTGTTACAATGGTAAGAGAGCAAAAACAGCACTACTACAATGTGTTTTTCCCACTCTGTCTGAAAATCACAGTCTTTTTATCGAAAAGATTGTACAGCTTAAAAACTCAGTAAGCCTGTTGCTCTTTAGGAGTGCACTGTTTGACCGGAAAGCAACCTGAAGCTGGTACATGGCTATGATCACAATTACAGCAGGTTATAAGGGCAAAGAGTGCTCTACAAGTAATTGAGAAGGTTAATTCTGTGATTAATTTAAAGAAACAGCTTGTAATATTAGTTTTATTGAGATATTTACATAAGTCTTGCTTGAGGTTATTTATCATACACACAGTTGTAGCTCATATTTTAACATTCAATCTAATTTATATTCGGGGTATTTTAGGGAAAGATCAACTCTTTGCTTGTTCATTTCTTTCATTTTGTATTTTTTTTAAGATTCGGGTTCAAAATATGTCTATGTGAATAAATACATGAATTGGACCGATGCTCAAAAGTACTGCAGGGCTAACCACACAGATCTGGCCAGTGTGAGAAATCAGTCTGAGAATGACGCCATCGAACAGCTCCTGATGGACAAATATGCATGGATCGGCTTGTACAGAGAGTCCTGGAGGTGGTCAGACGGTCAGCGCCTGAAGATGACTTCATTCAGCAAATGGAATCAAAGTCAAACAGTAGATGTGGAAAACACATGTGTGACTACAAGAAGCGGCGTGTGGAATATGAGACCCTGCTCCAACACGTATCCTTTTATCTGTAGTGGTGAGTTAAACATGTCGGAAAACGACATGGAAGGTCTTAGAATCAGGAAATGCTTCATTTTTAGTATTTTACATCTATGATTAATACTTTTTGATGATGAGGTGCTACACAGAGAGAAGTAAACTTACAGGTGGTTGGCAGAAATAAATACAGGAATGTAAAATATATTGTACTGTATCACGTGCTGAGATATATATTTGATTTACAGACTATCAATTCTATATCTCAACTGTGATTTCCTAATAATTCCATATTTCTTTTCCCTTTAGGCTTATCTAACGTGCAGCCAATAGAGAGGAAGCTGGTGAAAATCACTTTGTCCACATCAGCTTCCTCACTGAACCTGGAAGAATCACAGGATGCCATCTTGCAGCAGGTATGTAAGAAATAGTGCAGATTTGTTATGTTGTTTGTAAAGTAATTAATAACTACGTGGCAGTAGAAAATATTCATGTTTTATATTGCAGCAAATTTGTACCATATAATATTTCAAGAACAAACCAATGCAGTTTCCATTAGATAATTGTTTCAGCTGAAAGTGTGTGGTTTTGCTTGTGGTCCACTTCCATAGAGTAATTTAAAAAGATTTTCCCGGTCAAACGAGGAACTAATCAGATTTTAGAAGCTCTTTTCTGTTTTATAATTTAGGGCAATTTCAAACCAACTTAAATCCTTGCCAACATTGATGTGTTATGGGATACGAAAGCAAAGCCAGATAGTCCAGCAGTAAAATCTTACCCTGACTGTATGTGTTACAGAATCAGGAGATAAAGAAGGAATGCAAAATCAGATTCCACCATGTTGTTCTTCATGTAATAAACAATGGGTAGTTTCTACTATATGTTAGGCTTATATTTACAGCTCTCTGCAGTATTGCCATTAATATGGAAGCCGGTTTCCGCCATTCTGTAAAAAAGAAAAAAAATTGTCTCATTATAATGAGATACTAACTCAATATAATGAGATAGTATCTTAATTTAATGACAAAGTAACTCAATATAATGAGATAGTATCTCATTATAATGAGATAGTAACTCAATATAAAAAGATGCTAACTCAATATAATGAGACAGTAACTCAATATAATTGTTCACGAATGAGGGAAGAAGGGAGCGGGAGATCGACAGGTGGATTCGCGCAGCGTCTGCTGTGAAGCGGGCGCTGTACCGGTCCATCGTGGTGAAGAGAGAGCTGAGTCAAAAAGCGAAGCTCTCGATTTACCGGTCGATCTACGTTCCTACCCTCATCTATGGTCATGAACTCTGGGTCATGACCGAAAGAACGAGATCGCGGATACAAGCGGCCGAAATGGGTTTCCTCCATAGGGTGGCTGGGCTCTCCCTTAGAGATAGGGTGAGAAGCTCGGTCATCCGGGAGGGACTCGGAGTAGAGCCGCTGCACCTCCACGTCGAGAGGAGCCAGTTGAGGTGGCTCGGGCATCTGGTTAGGATGCCTCCTGGATGCCTCCCTGGTGAGGTGTTCCGGGCACGTCCCACCGGGAGGAGGCCCTGGGGAAGACCCAGGACACGCTGGAGAGACTATGTTTTTTCGGCTGGCCTGGGAACGCCTTGGGGTTCCTCCTGAAGAGCTGGAACAAGTGGCTGGGGAGAGGGAAGTCTGTAGCCTGACGTAGTCCTACTCAATTCTAATCAGAATATGAGTCTGATGCTGCTCCATAGAGCTGTGATTATGGGGCGTGTTTTGAACGAACCAGGAAAAAAAATGCCTCTGCACTCAATTGGATAGACCTACAACCAATAAGAGCAACGGAGTGCGTGACGTATGTTAAGCGACGCATAGTTGTTGTCAACAAAAATCAAAGCGTGCAGTTGGACGTCTAGAATAAGAAGATGAGCCTTGATCGCGTTTCTCTGTTCCTCTTTTAAAATTAATTTGCTGTCGATATCTTCTAGAACAGACCTAATAGCAGAATCTACACACTTCAACTCTCCAGCGGCAGCCATTGTTGTTGTCACCCAAGCGCGCTTTGGTGACGTGGTTGATTACGTTACTGTTGATCATCTGTCCATCATCGTATAAAGCCCGCCCTGACAATTTGATTGGCCCGCCAGATATTGTGCGAGCGTACTCGCGCTACTATTAAGCAATGCCAGACCGAACTTCCCGACCTCAAACGTTGTGGGCGGGACTAAGTTCGGAATGGCACCCAGGCTAGGAAGTCTGGGCCTCCCTTCTTAAGCTGCTGCCCCCGCGACCTGACCCCGGATAAGCGGAGGAAGATGGATGGATGGATGGATGGATGGATGGATGGATGGATGGATGGATGGATGGATGGATGGATGGATGGATGGATGGATGGATGGATGGATGGATGGATGGATATAATGAGATAGTATCTCAATATAATTAGATACTAACTCATTATAATGAGATAGTAACTCAATATAATGAGATAATATCTCATAATGAGATACATTTTTTTTTTTTTTTAGAGTGGCGGAAACGGTCTTCCATACATTAATGACCAGGTTTATCATTCTGGGGGAAATTAAAATGTATAAAATGACTTCAAAGTGTGTCAGGTTGTTGTCTGTTCTGCAGACTGAAGTTTATATCTTATTTTTTTTTGTTCTTGTTTTTCAACCAGCTTCGCAGCAAACTGCCGGAGAACGGACTCGGGGATTTAAAGCTGAGGTGGATAAAGCAGTCTGACGGAAAGACGTTCCACTTGAAGAAAAAAGACAAAAAATAAAAATATGGGATTCTGTCAGGAAAAAGTTTAGATTAGAAAAATAGAAAGGCAGTTAGTGTTTTAGGATATTTGATTTGATTACAAATAATGCTAGTGACCTTTACTTTTTAATGGTCTGATGTAGTGCTCTAATTTCACTGTAACAATGCTATAATCAATGTGTTTCAGTTAATGAACTAATTCACTTAAATAAACTTTTGATAATGTTCTGATTATTAGAACAACCATATTTAAAGTATAATTTGATTTAAGAGGCACTTCATGGTCGTATGATTTATTTGGCATTTACCTTTAACTGAGGAAAGACGGAAACTAGCAGGAATATTTGGTTGCATGGCAACAGGATATTAAACCAGACATTAAGCCATAGCCTGACGTTCCACTTTATGTAAAATAATTGGATTCAAGTTGTTGTTGCTCTGAGAGGTTTCAGATATAAATTAGTTGCCAGACTCCTTTGTTCATCAGAGGAAAGCTCATTCATTTCCCACCTCTAGTGAAAAAAAGAGGAAAACCTGAAGTTTTTTGCTTCTTAGATTTGTTATTTTGTAAGATCTGTTCAATAAATTTCTACAGATTTCACAGTACTTATGGGGATAATCTGTTCTGTAAAGCCTGGGAGCTGGCTCGGAGCTCGTCTGCCTGGCTGTGTGTTTCCTGGACGGGGCCGCCTTTTACAGCTGCTTTTTGTATCTCTGCTTCTGTCTCCTTGAACCCCAGTCGTCCCTCAGCAGATGGCCGCTCACACTGAGCCTGGTTCTGTTGGAGGTTTCTTCCTGTTAAAAGCAAGTTTATCCTCTCCACTGTCGCTACAAGCATGCTTAGCGTGAGGGATTGCCTTTAAGTTAATGAGTCGATGCAATCAACTGGTTTTCCTTAGATAGAAAACTTTGAATCAATTTAACTGGATGATCTTGTTTAATTGTATCTGTAAAGTGCCTTGAGATAATGTGTGTTGTGAATTGGTGCTATAGAAATAAACTGAGTTGAATTAAAATTAAAGTTTGCTGAATCAACATGTGTATGAATTATGCTATATAAGAAAAGAGAAAAAAGATTCAAAATAAAAAAAAAAAAACAAAAAAAAAACTTGTAGCTGCTATCAACTAAGACAGCAAAAATCCCTTGGAGAGAGGGAGGTAAAAACAGACAGGAAATGGCATTGAGACTGAGGACACAATTCATAACAGGAGAATCTGACAATGAAGAGCTGAAAATAAGTTAAATGCAATACTGGGAGAAGTGATTACTGGAACAGAGACAAAATGAATGGCTGTCCAAAATATTTTTTAGTCTGGAACGGAAAAGGGTGTTCTGAACAGGTTTATTAAGCACAAAGGCTCCATTAGCTGCTTAAATGCTAAATCTAATCATCAAACAAGCATTTAAATTTTAATATTGCACATTTACAATGTTGAATGTTTTTGACCTAATAAATTCAGATCTTTGACACCAATTCTGACCTCACTGGTCAGAAATTTGACCAGTCAAGAATATACCCACAGTGTACAGTATTGATGCATTGATTGTTATCTTAAAGTTGGAGCCACCAATGCTTAATGTGCAGGTCATCCATTTATTTTGTCCAAATCTCATCAGTTTCCACTCAAAGAAAATAATATTTGCACAGCTGTACATTACACCTGTTGACAGCATCTTACCTCAGCAGTCAAAAACAGTTTTTAGCACTTCCAGGTTCAACGCCTGCTTCGAAAAGAAAGGTTACTTCAATTTTTGTCACTGATTACCCATGTGACCTAATACCCCTTGCTCATGCTTATCCCTGTTGGGGTCACGAGGCGTGCAGGTGCAGGGTCCACAGACACAAACAGGACAAACAGGCATTCACACACACATTCACATCTAAGGAGAATGTAGAGGAGCCAATTAACCTAACAGTCATGTTTTTGGACTGTGGGAGGAAGCCAGAGTACCCAGAGAGAACCCACGCATGGTCAGGGAGAACATGCAATCTCCATGTAGAAAGACCCCAGGCCAGGGATCAAACGCAGAGCGTTCTTGCTGCAAGGCAGTAGTGCTACCCATTGCACAACTGAACAACCCTAACATCTCCAAAATTTCATTAACGATCTGCTTCTACATTACAGACTCTCCTCATCTTTATCAGTGGGAGAACTTGTACCAACAGTGGTTGGTTCAGTATTTTTTTTACCCTGTGGCACCACCACTTACTCACTGCCGGAACTATTCTTCAACTTTGCTGCTGTGTGGATCATCTCAATGGCCTAAAGCATTAACTTGGCCTGTACTTTTATCATAGCTACTTTTCAACTAAGAGAGACCAAATTGATTTTTTTGTACATTATAGTAGAAAATAACTATTTGGTCGATAAAAAAAGTTCATATTGTTGGGATAATTAACACCGATGATGTGTGAGTTTATTACACCCTAATATTAGCTGCCTGTTGGGTGTCAGAACTGATGTTTTCCATAATAGTTTATCTAATTAAGCAGTTCCTCTGTCCGGATTAATCATTATAATTTTCATTCTGTACTTAAAGCGTTTGTCCCGAGTCATCTCTTTCTTCAGGAAAAAGAACCGGAGAGAGAAAGCTCCAAGATGTAGACGCACGGAGAGCCTATCTTTAATAATCTCAAAACTCTGTAGCATTCATTTTGTTGGAAGTGGTGAAGGTCGCATGTTTATTGTCATGCTGGGCTCACAGGGAACATGAGGCCACGGCAAGGAACCAAAATCTATGTGACAGTCTAATTAGCCCGATGGAGGGCGTATGAGGTTAACAAGGTCATGCGGATCAATTAAGTCTTTCCTCAGGAAGGACATTTGGCCTCTGGATCAAGCTGCTAAACAGAAATGGGGGGGGGGGGGGCTACTTGATGATGGCGCCGTTCAGATTGGAAGACTCCTTCATGTGCGGCCTTCTTTTTACCAGTTTCAAAGGACAGGTCTAGTGTATGCTTCGTAGCTTTGGGTATCCCATGATTCATTGCGAATGTCATGATCTGGCCTGATTGCTCTCACTTAATTAGTCATTCCTTTCACCTGTCGTTTTCCCTCCCTGCCTCAATTATGATTTATTCCTCCCACCTGTTTCCTCTTGGTTATATTCAGTTCAGCCTGAGCATTCAGGGCCAGATCATTATTTGTCTTTCTGTTAGCCTGTCTGTTATTTTTATTTCATGGTTCTTATCATGGATCCTGGCGGCCAGTGGAAAGAGGGTTTTTGTGTCTGTCTCGTCTCCTGATCATCCACTGTTCCTCCCCCGCGGAGTCCTCTGGGTTTTTGGCTCTATATGTGTGGAGGTTCAGTTTTTATCAAAGTAAGCCTGGCTCCAGGGAGGAGACCAGTTTAAAGGTCCTGCATCAAGTTCTGGTTCCACGTCCTGTATCGGCTACCCTCTTCCACTGAGCCTGCCCGTCTGCACCTGATCCTGTCTGCTCCTGTGTGCGACCACCTGGTCACGCTTTCGGACCCTGTCAGACTCTGAACCTGTCCCGGAGCTCTGTTATTGCCTGGAAGCCTGGATCCTGCCACTTGTTCTGTTCCTGCCTGATCTGAATCCCTGATCAGGATCAGCTTCCTGCAACTCCTCCGGAGCTGCAGCATCGGGGACACTCTGGGTGACGCGAGCCACGTCAGCTGTCAGCCCATCGGCTGGATTGCACCCCTCTCAAGGGGTATGGACTGAACTTCTAAACCAGAGTGTCTGAGATATGGCGGTGCCCCGCCCCCCTGCTGCAGTGTCCGTGAGCCTCAGCTCCACTTTAGCTTTTGTTAATTTAATAAACCTTTTTGAACTTTCCCACTGACTGTCTCTCCTTGAATACTGGGTCCATCTGTCCGCGATTCCTGACATCCAAGCAAGCCGCCTGCTACTTGTTCAGAAGAAAAAGGGAAATGGCGACTAACAGTGGTGAATATTGTAAGTGCAGTTTAATGTAATATAAGTTTGTGAATAATTTTGTCTTAAATTAATGAAAAATTTTTTTATTTAAATGGTTAGTGAGTCATAAATGTCACGAGGAATGTTTTGTTTATTAAAATGTTGTATTTGTCCATGTACAAATGGGTTTGGCCGACATTTAAGCCAAACCCATTGGGGACTATAAATCTGATATCTGCGACGACAGTACTGCTGCACCGCAGACCACAGGGACACAGGGTGGGCAGACATAGGGATAGCCACACCCACCAGAGATGTGCAGATGAGAGCACCAGTAGCCCGACCCCTGAGGGGCCAAACCCTAAACGGAGCCCAGTCCCCAAGTGGTTTGACCCTGGAGACCATAGCGCCCGGTTCCCATGGGGCAGCGGCAGCAAGCCCCCTGGCTACACCCGCGATCGATTGGTCACATCCAAGGTGGATCTGGATGAGAGCCCCAGGGCCCAAGGTCCAGGGGCGCACCTCCTTCAAGTGGGCACCCCACAGGGCCAGGAGGCCCAGGCCCTGACCAGAAGTCAACCGGAATGAGACAGCAGCAACTGAAGTTCCCAACCTTGCACCTAGAGGGGGAGGAGACAGGCCACGCTTATACTTGGGCCTAAGATGTTCTGTGGGTGTGGCGGGGAGACAAGCACCCAGCCTGACAAGTAGAGAGAAACAACTTCACATTCATCCAGTCACATTCACACAGAGATGGCAAAAGTACTCACTTTCCGTACTTGAGTAAAAGTACAGATACTTTTGGTAAAAAATACTCTGGTAAAAGTGGAAGTACTGATTAAACTTCTTTACTCAAGTAAAAGTAACAAAGTACAGGCTTGTAAATTTACTTAAAGTATAAAAGTAAAAGTAGAAACCACTTTTCTCATGCCGTTGCCTACATTTTAAATGGATGTCTGCCAATAGGACTAGATCTCCGTTGTGTTCATTTTCAATCATCTCGTCGTCCATGCTATTATGCTAACGCCACCGCCACCAAGCTGCAATGATTTGCTGCGAATGAATACCGCCGAATCTGTCGATTCATCTTGTAGTGGTGCATCAAATGCAACGTAGATTC